CTCCCCCCCTCCCCCTCTCCCTCCCCCCTCCCCCCCACTGTCTCTTTCTCTCTCTCTCTCTCTGAGGAATAATCTTGCCAGAATTTAGGTTTTTATACTTGATGTGATCTGTTACTCAAAATTAGTCATCGTCTTGTATAAATCTAAAAGAACATCACTGGAGAAAATAGTTAAAGTTGCTCATCGGTAAACTAATAGCAGTTTGACTAGTTACGACAACTGGACAAAATAAAAGCTATTCTTCAGCGTATTTATGACTAAATTAGTTAAGTCGATTTTGAAGTTCCTTTGGTATCTACAGTTAAGAGCTACTCATGTCATGAGATCCTAAAGTACATAGTCATTGTTGAAACCAAATCTTCAGATGAGGAACAGATATTTAAAATGTTTTTTGATGAAACTGTCTCGTAGGTTTGTATTCTGGAGTAGAACTTCACTTTGATTCATTTGAAAAAAATTAATATTATTTCAAGGTCCCATCTCAGATATTTTCTTAATCCAGAAGCTGTTGCTAGTCTCAGAAGAAACTTCTTATATCACACTTAAACATCAAAAATAAGTATACTTTCATTCATTCTCAAGAGTAAATTATTGATTGTAATAACTGTATATTTACAAACAGGTTTATAAAATATTTCTCTATCAAGTTAATAGTAAAATAAAACTTACGGGGTTTGCAAGGGAAAATATGAAGCCCACTGAAAGTGGTTCAGATATCTTTGTCGTGTAGGGCATAGGTGTTTGTTTAGCCAGTCTTATACAGTATTTAATTTTAAAATTTCCTATAACTATCACTTTACCAGGTGGAAGATGATTTGTTGAGTTTCCTACTGATGACTTTCTGTCCTCCCAGTGTTTCTGTCACTGGTTCACTAAAACAGTATTTATACAGCTCCACTGGCTCTAACGCTCTTAGTCTTTCTGATGTTTTGGATTTTACAAGTAAAAAATTTTTTTGAAAAATAGAAAAGAGACAATCAAACGCCTGGAGCTTAAAACAAAGTATGTGCAACCTACCATCTCACTTGAAATTTAATAAAATAAATAATTATGTAAATATAACATAGAGTTATAGATTTATATTTTGTTCATAACACATAGTGTAATATAAGTTGTATATTTTCATGTTTTCGGTTTTATGTTATCATTCATGCCACAATAAAAATAAAACAGGAGTTTATGTACTCTTTAAAAAATAAGATGTGGGTTGCCACCAACCTGGGTTTTTTTTTTGTTTTTTGTTTTTGTTTTTGCATTCTTTTTTCAGTATTATTGCCATGCAAGGCACCAATAAAAACAGCAAATGTGTTCTTTATCTATTATACTGTGTTTCTTTTCACAATTCTTGCTCTGAAACTATAATCAGTTTTATTATGAAAAGAACAAAAGTGTAAAAAATAATTCACTCTTGTTTTTGATATCGATGGTCCCCCACATGGAAGTTGACTTAGGACAGGGGACTTAGTCTAATCTTTAGTGTGGACATCCCCAGAAGGTTATTCCAAATGCATGACAGTGCCTCTGAGACAGCAACCCAGCTTCACTCCAGCCCCCAAATACGTATTCCTCTCCGGTGTAACAGGGTTCAATACCTGTGGAAACCCTAAGCCTGAAGCACTGATGGTGTTTCCTTGGTTGGATGCTGTCTTTGGGGATGGAATGTGGATTTTCCCCTTTAGAATTATGGTTCTTCTTTTGCTCATGTGGCAACACTTCACGGTTTCAGATTATAAATAAATTTCACCTTTGAGTAATGGATATTTCTGAATTGTTTAATGCTCTGATGTGAGCCTCTGGGTTATACCTCCAACTTCTTAAATGATAGAAATAAGAAATCTCTTTTCCTTCCAGTGGCCATTTTTGCTTGTCTTACCTACCATACTATGTATTTCTTTATGGTCCTGTGAGTTTTTGGTT